GTCCAGAAGCCCTAACAATTTCGTCCCAAAGAAGTCTCCCTCTATCGTGATTCAAGCCTGGAGGTCGGTATATTACACCTAGAATTAGTTTTTCTTGACCCTCCACGAACTCTACCCAAACAGACTCTGTTACTGCTCCATCTATTTTTATACCTATTTTTAGGCAACAATTAATATTTTCTCGAACATACAATGCAACTCCTCCCCCCCTTCCCATTACATCTATCCACATTGAACAACTTAAATCCCTGAATATTACACTCAGAAGTCATATCCCGACTCTTTAAATCATACCACGTTTCAGTTAATGCAATGATATCAAAGTTCCCAGCACATGCTACCAAACATAGTTCATTAATTTTATTTCTTGCACTTCGACTGTTAGCATAAAATACCATCATATGTTTTTTCTTCTGCACATTTTTCCTATTCATCTTTGTTTTTACACAATTTCTGAAATTATCATTACCCAGAGTTACTCCATGACAGTTACTATTAAGATTCTTAATATCAGAGCATAAGTCAATATATCCATACTCATTATTTATCATTTCTAAACCCCTACCTCTAACTAATCCTAGTTTAAAGTCCTAACAACCCCCTCAACTGAGTTAGCAAGAAAACCCACACCTGCCCTGGATAAGTGAACCCCATCCCTGGCATACATGTCATTTCGGCCATAGAAGTTGTCCCAGTTGTCAATGAATGGTACTGCATTATCCTTACAGTGTTTATCCAGCCAACAATTAATACCAATTGCTCTGGACAACCATTCATTACCAACACCTCTGCTTGGCAAAATGCCACATATAACAGGGCGCCCCCCCCTTCTTCCTAATTATGTCTATAGCTGTCCTGAACTTTCTAACTAAATCCTCACTTCTACGCTTGCCTACATCATTGCCTCCAGCACTGAGGCAAATAATAGGATTGATCCCATTACCGTTCATGATGTTGTCAAGCCGGCTAACAATGTCCTCCATCCCAGCCCCAGGAAAGCAAACCCTCTGTCTCCTACTCCTGTCCTTCAAGCAGAATGCCCTATCCATGTATCTAACCTGGCTATCCCTAACAACAACAATATTCTTACCTTCCTTGTTGTCGTTCGTCGTGACGATCCCAGTAGTCGACTCTCATTCGTCGGGTAGCACCGAGAATGCGTTGGAGGTTTCCACAGGAGTTTCCACAGCAGTCTCTTTCTTCTTCATCGTTTCTGGCTTTCCATTCGTCTTCTTGATTGTCAACTTCGTCGTCCCCTGCTGTCCAGCCACTGACCACGATCCCTTCTTGACCTGAGGACTCGAAACAGGAGGACTACTACAAATCCTCTTGTTTTCCTCGGTCAATCGCCGTATCTCCATCTTCGCTACCCTCAATTCTTCCTTAAGTTGCTGGTAAAGTTGCTTGATGGAGGGCATCTTGGTTCAGTCCACGGGGAGCACACAAGACACTTCTTCACAGAATTAAGTACAGGTCACCACTGAGTTAAGTACAGGTCACCACTCTTGCAGCTCTTCAGTGGTTAGCTCTTCATTGTGATGCTCCACCAACTCTTCCACATCCTCACTACTCATATCCAACCCCATGGAATTCTCCAGTGTCACAATAGATTCCACACTGGCAGAGGGTCCTCATGGTCAGCTCCAAGCCCTTCAAAATCCCTCTTTTGGACACAATCTGGCCACAATATTCTCCAAGCAGAGTTCAAAGTCCTGGAAGTCACTTCCAAGCCTTACCTATAAGGTTGATGCAATGGAGGATACTGAAGTGATCTTTCCAAAATTCTCTTAGGGTCAGTTGAGTGTCTGAGGTCACATCAAAGCACCTTGGAAACATTGCTTTGGTGTAAAGTTTTTTGAAGTTTGAAATGATCTGCTGGTCCATGGGCTGGTTAAGAGGAGTGGTATTAGGGGGCAAGAACTTCACTGTGATGAAACGAAACTCCTCCACAATTTGGTCATCCAGGTCTGGAGGATGAGCAGGAGCATTGTCCATTACCAGGAGGCACTTGATTTCCAATTTATTTTCCAGGAGGTATTTCTTCATACTGGGGCCAAACACTTCATTGAACCAATCAAGGAAAATTTCCCTGGTGACCCATGCCTTACTGTTAGCCTTCCACATCACACAGTTTACTCTTGGCAACACTGTTTTTCTTGAACACACTGGGAGTTTCAGTGGTACACTAGTAAAGGCTTCACTTTGAAATCCCCACTAGCATTACTACAGAACAAAAGAGTAAGCCTGTCTTTCATAGGCTTGTCCTGGTAGCACCTTTTCCTCCTGCGTAATGTAGGTCCTCCTTGGCATTTTCTTCCAAAAGAGGCCTGTTTCCTCACAATTGAACACTTGTTGGGGTTTGAATTCGTCAACCTCTATGTACCCCTTGAATTCACTCATATTTTTCAGCTGCATATTGTCAGAACCGGCAGCCTCACGATGCCTTATCACACTGTGTATGCCACTAAACTTCTTAAATCTCTCAAACCAGCCTTTGCTGGCCTTAAATTCACTAACATCACCACTTGTTGCAGGCATTTTCTTTACAAGATCGGCATGCAACCTGCCTTGCCTATTCACAAATTATCGACTGCATAACACTATCTCCTGATAATTGTTTCTCGTTGATGCACACCAACAATAACTTCTCAACATCTTCGAGTACTTGCGATCTCATTTTTGCGAGCATAATTACCCCTTATGCAACAACAGCTTTCTTGATTTCCTTTTTCTTGGCCATGATGGAAGCGATTGTTGTATGGGATTTCCCATATAGCCTGGCAAGTTCTGCCACATGCATTCCACTTTCATATTTTTCAATGATGTCTTTCTTGAATTCTATTGTATTTCTCACTTTCTTTACCAAAGACCTGGCACTAGGAGCTTTCTTTGGAGCCACAGTGGCTTATTTAGCAGTTGCAAGCACTAACAAATGGATTATTACGAAATGTATCGTATGAATGCATGGGATCATCCTCACTTACTGATAAACAGTGGCACACTGGCTGGGAATGGAGTGTGGGGCCACTTGGGGCCGTGTGTATGTGTTTGGGATGAATGACTATTTGCAAATCAAAGGACGATTTGTGAGTCAATGTTTTGATGAAAAAATGTCACGATTTTCGACAATTCCAACTTCCGATGCTTAGGAAAAACGAGGGTCCACTGTATTTGGGTGTTGGCAAGAGGTGTGGGATTGAGAAAGAATCTAATAAAAGTGGGAATTGCTTTTTTGTTGATGACACTGTGCTTTTGGGAGATTCTGAAAAGTTGCAGAGGTTGGTGAACGAGTTTGGAAGGGTATATAAAAGAAGGAAATTAAAGTGATCATAGGAAAGCACAAGGTGATGAGGAGGATAAAAAAAAACTTAGGTAATGAAAGATTGGATATCAGATTGGAGGGAGAGAGTATGGAGGAAGTGGATGTATTCAGATGGGTGTATGAAAGACGAGCAGAATCATAAAATTGATGAAGGGGAAAAAAGAGTGGTGCAATAAGGAATCTGGAAACAAAGAACATTATCCATGGAAGCAAAGAAGGAAATATATATTTATTTATTTATTTTTATTTATTTAGAAATTTTAGCATACAAACAGAGGTACAAAAAATACAGGTAAGAGCAGCATGCCAAAGCCACTTATATGCATATATGAGAGTATAGTGGTGCCAGTGCTCTTATATGGATGTGAAGCATGAGTAGTGAATGTTGCAACAAGATGGGATGGGGTAAAGGAGGTTTTGTGTGCAAGGATTTAAACTTTAATCAAACATGTGTGAGCATGTTAGATAGTGAGTGGACGCAAATTTTTTATTTTTATGTGCTGTTCGAGTATGAGCATAGTAGCATATATGGAAGGATTCAGGGACTGGTGAGCTGGACTTGAGTCCTGGAGGTGGGAAGTACAGTGCCTGTGCTCATGAAGGTGTTAATTTGTTGCCATTTTTTAACTGTAGTATGGGCATACCTCTGGTAAGACAGTGATGGAGTGAATGATGATGATAGTGCCGCTCCTTTTTCTGGTCACCTTGCCTTGGTGGGAAACTGTTGATGCTAATAAAAAAAAGTTTATTCCGGAGACTTGGCTTTTTTTTTTTAGTACAGTGGAACCTCAAATATCGAACTTTTTTCGGTCCAGAAGGCTGTTCGAGTGCCTTTACTGAATGAATTTATTCCCATCAGAATAATGTAAATTAGATTAGTCCATTTCAGACCCTCAAAAATACACTTATAAAAGCACTTACAAAAATACACTTACATAATTGGTTGTGTTGGGAGCAGTTCGATTTTTGAGGTTCCACTGTACATGGATACACGAGTTATAATGTCTTGATCGTTGTTAAATTCTGTTGGAAAATGTTACTGATTGCTTTGGTAAAGTTATTAGCTGATGCTTCAACATTGAGCCTGAATGAAATTTCATAGGTTTCAGGGGGTAGTTGTGTTATATTAGTCGGGTATTAGTCAAGAGTGTATCAGTCTGTAGTGGAAGGAAGGCGGGGTAGGGGTCGGCCTAGGAAAGGTTGGAGGGAGGGGGTAAAGGAGGTTTTGTGTGCAAGGGGCTTGGACTTTCAGCAGGCGTGCGTGAGCGTGTTTGATAGGAGTGAATGGAGACGAATGGTTTTTAATACTTGACGTGCTGTTAGAGTGTGAGCAAAGTAACATTTATGAAGGGGTTCAGGGAAACCGGCAGGCCAGACTTGAGTCCTGGAGATGGGAAGTACAGTGCCTGCACTCTGAAGGAGGGGTGTTAATGTTGCAGTTTAAAAACTGTAGTGTAAAGCACCCTTCTGGCAAGACAGTGATGGAGTGAATGATGGTGAAAGTTTTTCTTTTTCGGGCCACCCTGCCTTGGTGGGAATCGGCCAGAGTGATGATAAAAAAAAATAATGATCAAATGTATGTATTGTCAATGATAATGCATTCTTATAGAGGAACTGTTTATTTGTTCAGATTAGATTTACATTGTAACCCATAAAATTATAATATAATCTTTTTCAGTCTCCAATGTTCGATGGAAGGGTACCACATTGGTACCATCAAATGTGCTTTTTTGGAAAACAACGTCCCCGGACTGTAGCTGACATTGCAGACTTTGATAGTCTTCGCTGGGAAGATCAAGAGAAGATAAGAAAAAAAATTGGTATGTATAGTAATATGGTCATAGTATCTTGTTAATAAGAGGTTTCAAGATTTCAGTGTAATTATTTAGGAGTTTATCTTTATTCTAGGAAAGCGTGCACTGTGGTACATAATGGCTTTAGCATACTAAATAATTTACATTCATAAACTTATAGTTCACTGCTTTTGTTAAATAGCACATTATATTTAAATTTTAAAAGAATGCAAGTGATAGAAATAAAGTCCAGGAACTTTACTCTAGTTTGTAACTTAATTGCCTAGATTTGTCTTGCAAAATACAGTGGTACTAAGAATTTCGAACAGCTCCCAGCTCAAACAATTATGTAAATGTATTTTTATAAGTGCTTTTGTAAGTGTATTTTTGGGGGTCTGAAATGGGCTAATCTAATTTACATTATTCCTTATGGGAACAAATTCATTTGGTATGGGCACTCGAACAGCCTTCTGGAACGAATTAAATTCGTAACTCGAGGTACCACTGTATCTGTTGTAAGTATTCAAATTAATTATATATACATTTTACCAGGGTAAACTTTTATGATGATGACTAATTATTTGAAAAAAAAAAAAAAAAAATGTGTGGAGTATATTTGGTTTTTGTTTTCCAGTATGCCCAAAACTGTTTCATAGTGATCTAGCACTTAAGAGGCAGGAACAAATTTACTATAAACTCATATTTTACCCAAGGTAGGTTCCTTGATATTCATGAGGGCTTTGATTCAAGAAATGCATCTTGTCCTCGCCTTTCATTGATTGAATGTGATTGCCTTCTCTAAGTGCTGAATGATCCCTCTGGGTTTAGCACTTTCCCCTTAATATTATAATAGGCCAAACCCATGTTGTTCAAGGCTTTATAACTGTTTTGATATACACATGTATTTAATATAATTTAATAATCCATTTTAGCAGTGCAGGGGTGGGTGTAAGGTAGGATGAACAGATGTCAATAAACAGACTTCCATGCAGGTTGGTGTACCTGGATGTGTACTATATGATTTTTGCTCATTGCTCATCACTCAGTTCCTTCTTTTCATCACTATTTCACCTCTGAATATTTATCATGGCATTCAGATGAAGTGCAGGTGATGCTGGTGAAGCATACTGGAAACTGTGCCTATATAAAAAAAATTAGAGGTAATCAAGATGAAGGGTGGTGCACATGTCATGCTGACGACACTAATGTTTGGTGTTAGAGAATCAACGATTCACTCAATTTTAGACAATGAGATAAAGATAAAGGTTTTGGCAGCGAGTAATCCTCACTGTGACAGTGTAAAGAATGAGGAATAGGTTGATATAGTTAAATAAAACTAAGTTTACTAACTGTGTGGATTGAAAAAAAAAAAACATTCCACTCGATAAATTTTTTATTAGGGGAAAAAGCCCTATCATACTATAAAACAGTATGTGAGGAGGAAGGATAGCCAGTAAATAAGTGCACATTTAGTTCTGGATGGTTTAACCACTTGAGAATGTGCAGTGGATTGTATAAAGAACAGCAGGGTAACACAAACAAGTGGTGTATCACATAATACCAGTCAAAAGCAGAAAGACTATACCTGGAGCATACCTGGAGAGGGTTTTGGGGCTCCGCACCCCTGTGGCCCAGTTCGTGATTAGGTCTCGGCTATAGACACAAGAAGGGTACACTGTGTCGACATTTGTGACACAAGACTATTCACCCTGCTACCAGCCGATATCAAGTGGAAACTGGATCATTACCTTTGCCAGGTGACAGTTTTAAGCAGGCTCTTATGGTAATGTGGTCCATTGAGCTGCTAACAGCAACAGCCTGTTAGAACATGCATCCAGTAAAGAAGCTTGGCTAAAGGCTGTGCTGGTAGGTTAGAAAAGTTCTTGAAATTGGTCATAGGTTTATCATACGCATCATATTTCAGTAAGATCACGATTTAGTTCTTCCCCTTTTGCTTATTTTGTTTAATGCACACAACTGGGCTACCCATGGCAGGTGTGTGTGTGAATCTGAACTTTCGTTGTGATCTAAGTTTGATGTAGAGTGAAAGAAAGAGTAAGAGTTAGTGAGGGAGAGTGAGAGTGAGTGAGGGAGAGAGAGAGGGGGAGAGAGGAAGAGTGAGAGAGGGGGGAGAGGAAGTGAGAGGGAGGGGGGAGAGGAAGTGAGAGGGAGGGGGGAGAGGAAGTGAGAGGGAGGGGGGAGAGGAAGTGAGAGGGAGGGGGGGAGAGGAAGTGAGAGGGGAGGGGGAGGGGAAGTGAGAGGGAGGGGAGAGGAAGAGTGAGAGGGAGGGGAGAGGAAGAGTGAGAGGGAGGGGAGAGGAAGAGTGAGAGGGAGGGAGAGGAAGAGTGAGAGGGAGGGGAGAGGAAGAGTGAGAGGGAGTGTGTGTGGGGGGGGTGGATATGGGTGTGTGGGGGTGATTGGAGAGAGAGAGACACACAGACACAGACACACACACACACACACACACACACACACACACACACACACACACACACACACACACACACACACACACACACACACACACACACAGACACACACACTGGAGGACAGGAGAGATAGGGGGGACATGATAACGACTTACAAAATACTGAGAGGAATTGACAAGGTGGACAAAGACAGGATGTTCCAGAGACTGGACACAGCAACACGGGGACACAGTTGGAAGCTGAAGACACAGATGAATGAAAGGGATGTTAGGAAGTAATTCTTCAACCACAGAGTAGTCAGGAAGTGGAATAGTTTGGGAAGCGATGTAGTGGAGGCAGGATCCATACATAGCTTTAAGCAGAGGTACGATAAAGCTCATGGTTCAGGGAGAGTGACCTAGTAGCGACCAGTGAAGAGGCGGGGCCAGGAGCTTGGACTCGACCCTGCAACCTCAACTAGGTGAGTACAACTAGGTGAGTACACACACACACACACACACACACACACACACACACAACACACACACACACACACACACACACACACACACACACACACACTCACACCACGCAGCATGCAGCACACACACACACACACACACACACACACACACACACACACACACACACACACACACACACTCACACTCCACTCACACACACACTCACACTCACATCACACACACACACACACACACTCACACACACCACACACTCACACCACACACTCACACACACACACACCACACACACTCACACTCACACACACACCACACACACTCACAACTCACACTCACACTCACACACTCACACTCACACACACACACACACACACACACACACACACACCACACACACACACACACTCACACTACAACACTCACACACTCACACACTCAACACACACACACACACTCTCACACACTCACCACACACACACACACACACCACACACACACACACACACACACACACACACACACACTCACACTCACACATACACACACACACACACACACCATCAAATACAACAGCCTAGTGTCTAACCGACATGTGCCTAGGACAAAATGGTAACTAACACACACACACACACACACACACACCACAACACACACACACACACACCCCACACACACACACACACACACACACACACACACACACACACACACTCATCACACACACACACACACACACACACTCACACACATCACACACTCAACACTCACACACCTCACACACACACACACACACACACACACACTCACACACTACACACACTCACACACTCACACACACACACTCACCACTCACACACACACCACACACTCACCACTCACACTCACACACTCACACACCACACACACACACACACACCACACACACCACACACACACACACTCACACTCCACTCACACACTACACACACACACACTCACACACACACTCAAATACAACAGGCCTAGTGTCTAACCGACATGTGCCTAGGACAAAATGGTAACTAACACACTCACACACACACTCAAATACAACAGGCCTAGTGTCTAACCGACATGTGCCTAGGACAAAATGGTAACTAACACTCACACACACACACACACACACACACACACACACACACACACACAAACACACACACACACACTCACACACACACACACACACTCACACACACTCACACACACTAAACACACTCACACCCACACACTCACACACACTCACACCCCTCACACACACTCACACACACTCACACTCACACACTCACACACACACTAACACACACACACACTCACACACTCACACACTCACACACTCACACACTCACACACTCACACACTCACACACACACACACACACACACACACACACACCACACACTCACACACTCACACTCACACATACACACACACACACTCACACACACACTCAAATACAACAGGCCTAGTGTCTAACCGACATGTGCCTAGGACAAAATGGTAACTAACACACACACACACACATGCAGACACACACACACAGACACACACACAGACACACACAGACACATGCACACAGACACACACACAGACACACACAGAAGATTATCAGGAGGAGAGTGGTGGAGCTCTTGGAATGGAACAAGAGTTTAAATGACAACCAACACGGATTCATGGAAGGCAAATCCTGTGTCAGAAAACTTCTGGAGTTTTATGATAAAGTAACAGAAGTAAGACACGAGAGAAGGGTGGGTTGATTGCATTTTCTTGGACTACAAGAAGGCCTTAGACACAGTTCCTCACAAGAGGTTAATGCAGAGGCATGTATAACAGGATGGGCACTGCAATGGATCAGAGAATACCTGACAGGGAGGCAATAACGAGTCATGGTACATAATGAGGTATCACAGTGGGCACCTGTGACAAGCGGGGTTTCACAGGGGTCGGTCCTAGGACCAGTGCTATTTTTGGTATATGTGAATGGCATGATGGAAGGGATAGACTCAGAAGTGTCCCTGTTCGCAGATGATATGAAGTTAATGAGAAGTAAATCAGAGGAGGATCAGGCAGGTCTTCAAAGAGACCTGGACAGGGTGGACACCTGGTCCAGCAACTGGCTAAT